AATGTTACTTTCAGGCACGAAGTCACTCTCTCCAAGGGTATGTCTCTCAAGACTCCCGAGGAGATTAAGGGCATGAAAGAGATTCCCTATACCTCAGCCGTAGGGAGCATCATGTATGCCATGCTGTGCACTCATCCTGACATTGCCCAAGCAGTGAGTATGGTAAGTAGATACCAATCTAACCCAAGGTGGAAGCACTGAACAGTTGTGAAAAACATACTGAAATACATTTGAACAACAAAAGGAGTTTTGTCTGGTATTTGATGGTAGTTCACTATAGATCGTTGGGTATACTGATACCGACTTCCGGTCAGACCCAGATGATAGAATGTCTATATCTTGTTACATCTTCATGATTGGGTCCTGTGTAGTAAGAATAACAATCCATAACCCAAGCCAAGCACATTGCCGTAAGTGAGATTGCCTAATGAATGAAGGTGTTCATTCTAGAATTTAGAATTCAGCACATCACCCATTCCACTGTTGTGTGACAACACTGGATCTACGGGAGATTGATGTTAAAATGTAGCATCAACGGAGAATGTGGCAGACTCATTGACTAAGCCACTTACACAAAATGTGTTTGAGAAACATGTGGAAAGTATGGGAGTCCGGCTTGTATCTGATTGGACCTAAGTGCAAGTGGGAGCTGTTAGACAGTTATGCCCTTAGCTCCAATCAGATTGATGTATCTTTTGACATTTATTGTAAATGAATAAAGAACATAATTGATTCATGTCATTGTGGTATGTTTCTGTGTAATACCCTTAAATTGGACACATATGAGACTCATGTTAGTTTATAATCTTCACAACCGTGGGATAGATCTGGGGAGATTTATCCTACCAAGGTTGACACTGATATACCACCAAGATGGTTGGGGTGACTTGTCTCAGCTGCCAGTGTGAGACTTGAGGTGCATGCAGTGTGAGTTTTCTTGAAACCCTGAACTGGACCAAATTCCAGTATTGCCTTGGACTTTGGAGACAAATGGTAAAAACTGGAATGTTACACCTGACCCCTAGACTCGATTATGATACTACACTAAGTGTCGGATTGTGCTGTCTTTGATGTGTTAATCAGTGAGCTCCTTAGAGGGGGTCAAAACCTAGGTATGTTGGGACAGTCCGAGAAATCCCCTGAATGGGTGATCATAGTGATAAGATCAGCCCCTTTGTCGGACAAAGTGAATGATCGGGGAAATGCACTCTCTCTGATGAAAACCTAAACTACTGGCAGTGGAGAAAAACCATGTAAGAAATAAACAAACGTCGAACAAATCAAGTAACAAATGTAATAACGCATCCACAAGATACAAAACCAAAGTTTGGTAAACAGGTAAGATGCAAACCAACTCCTTTGATGCACCGAGTGAAGCAACAACAATATCAAAGTGACTTGCCAATCTAACACCAATCACCAGAAAATTTGAAACGTAAAACTCATAGGCTTCATTCGCTTTTCGGTAAATTATTTATTCAGGTAAATGTGGTTAAGTGGATAATTTTTTTTTGGGAAATATTTATTATGTTTTTTTTATTTCTTATATAAATAAGGCAATGATCATTTTAATCATAAAAATCTATTATTAAAAGGGGTATTTTTGTCCCATTCAAGTGTTGACAGCTTTCTCTCTAGGGAAAGCTTATTTACCCACCTAGGAGATGGGTATCACTTACCCAGGTGAGTGATACCCAAGAAAAATAAATATTCCTTGTTCCCCATATAAAATCTGAAAAAAGAACATAGGATTCTTGGTTAATGGGAACCAAAATCCTATTGACCAACTTTTCCCCCTCTCCATGGTTTTCAAAACTGGACCAGATTGGACGGTCGAGCCAAAAAAACTGGGGACCGGTAAGGTGACAGTTCTGTTTTACCCTAGAACTGTTATTTCGCCAAAAATTGTTCTATTGATTTGGTCAGCAAACCACTGGCCCAGGCGGTTGAACTGCTCAAAATGTTCAAACCGTCCAACAATTTTGACAATTTTTTAATTTTTTAAATTTTTGTTAGAACGGGCCCACTCATTCGGTTCAAACAATCGAACTGTTCAGCGTAGGAACTGAACCCCTGACCAGTCGTTGTCCAGTTCGGTTTTAAAATCCTTGCCCCTCTCAAAATCCAAAATAAGAACACACTCGTAAAGAACTGCCTGTGTTACTAGTATAAGGTCTCATTACATGTAACTGAAACTTTGAGTTGTCATTGTTTCACAAACTATTGCACAAACAATGGCCTGTTTGGGAGGCTGAACTGAAGCTTTGATTGAACTGCTTTCACTGTGTTATTTTGGAGAAGCTTCAATGAAAAGCTGTTTTTTTTGGTTAATTAAAGAGAGTCCAAATCTCTTCTCAACAAAAAGAAGTTCAACACGTTCCAGACATGATTTGTATCCACCCGTCTCATACATGGTGGGTTCCAATATTGTTGGGAGGAGATTCCAATTCAGTTAAAGGATGGGTAAATTTGGGTTTTTCCGGTTTTCATCAAACATTGCTTATAATTTGTTTGGCAGGAGTCCAAATCTGTCTTGCAAGCAAAATCTCTATTTACATGAAATCCTACCACACATTGGAAATATCTCCCCTACATGTATGTTTAATTCAAAGGGGATGTTCTCGATGCAAAGCTGGATCCCTGCAATTGCCGAGTGTATGTAGATTTTTTGATTTCAGGAGATCCCATCACATCTGAGTGGGGCCTATCTCGCAAAGCCAAAAGCTACCCCAAGAAAGACTTTCCAAACAGACTCTGGATCTCCTGCCTACAATAACTCTGCCCACATCTATCCACAACACACTACTTCCGTGCATAATACTAATATGTAGGAAGATGAAATGTTTCCCATGTGTGACTGCAATGTTATGTGGACAGATGCGGACAGAATTATTATAGGCAGGAGATCCGGACTCAAGCATACAATAACTCTGCCCACATCTATCCACAACACACTACTTCCTTGGTACAGTTTTTTTTTTAAGTTATTTATTTATTTTTCAAAACTGGTTTAAAGGGGTTGATTTAAGGCCCAACTACCCTCTAAACCGGTGGCTGACCTGTTACAACCCCTAGAGGGGTGTATTGATAAGCCATTGGCACTATATGTATCGACCCATACTTGATTGGTAGCCCCTCTATCCTTCAAAATTCACATAGTTGAGAGAATATGGTGAAGCTTAATTTTTATCTTCAATATATACCAAGGAGGAATTGTTGGATATAGCCTTCATAGTCTAGGATAGTCCAATGACGGTTTTAAGCAAAGCTAGCCCAACCAATCATGGAGCCCACTCCTGGTTTACAAGTTTGACCATCCACACTCCACAGTGGTTTGTATAAAACATGAACTAGAAAATTGGTCCCAACACTTGATCTTATCAAATCCTTCTCATTCACCGTTTCTCTTTGGCTACTTTTCTTTTGTGGATTTCTCTTGCTTGCTTATGCTTATCCCATTGAAGCTAATTTCCTTTATATTATTCATTGTTTTGGATCATCAATCCATTTAATTATCATTTTTCATTAATTCCAAGCAAATCAAGAATGTGATGACAGTTGAAGCAATGGGGACGTAAATACTGTCTTCTCTTTGTTTGAAGGGAAAAAGTAGAGAGAATTTACAACCTTTTAATTACACTGTTTCTATTATATATTTCTATGATCTTTTTCTAGAAAGAAAGAACCAAATGCAATTTGATAATTCTGAAAAATTCCCTTAGAATACTATTAGTTAATAGACATTGTAAACTTTTACTTATAAGTCATGGCATGGAAGGCAAGTTGTGTCAAAAACATTAATATTAAAATATCTACTCTATTGCTCTTACTGAAGAAGGGGTTCTCTGTTCTGGGGATGAGGCATCCTGCTTAGGAGGACAAGGGTTTTGCTAAAGGAGAACAGGGAGTAGAGAAAATGAAAAACAGTGACCACTCTATTTTCTAATACTTTATTTGGTTTCATAGAAAATAAGAGAGAAATAGAAAGTTGAGGGAAGGGATTTCACAAAATTTTATAGGCTGCGTTTGGAAATGATGCAAATAAGCGTAAATACAATTATATAAATATGTAGAGTGTAAAATGGTCTATATAAATTATGAAATTGGGTTAGTTTTTCACTGACAAATTTATCTTCTTATCAAACAGACTTAAAAACTTTCCCTCAACTTTCTGTCAAACCAAAAATACCCTAATAGTATCTTCCAAAAGTTTAAATCAATTAAATCTGCAACTATTAATATTAAAATTTATTTTGGTGATGCAATAAAGCTGAAAGTGTTGCTTGACACAGAAGTCTAAGTATCCTAAGCAAAGAAAAATTATCATATTGCCGATTCTTTCCCTGCTGAAAGTATGTTAGCTCATATGACAATGGCCCACAAAGCCCACAATTAAAAACAAGAAAAAGGAAAATATTATATGAACCCTTCTAATACATAAATTACATAATTTACATGCTAAAACAGAAGAGCAGATCTGTCCCCACAGAAAGAATCAAATGCCCACATGGAACCACAGGGAGTCTCTCTTCACATGAGTAGGCTGCTCATGTGAAAGTCCTATACAAATCAAATGTTGTTAACTGATTTAGGTAACCGTCCAATCTGTGCACATATATTGACCTGAACATCCAAATATTGGTGGAACAAGTAGACTATATCAGTGCAAAATTGATTGATGGCCCCACAATAGATGGCCCAGAGAATTAATCAGAAGGCCTGTGATGAATGTTCAGGGAAAGATGTACAAAAGTCCATGCTTGTCTGTAACACTTGAAATATATATCCCTTATCACAGTTGATTTAGATTAATAGTGGCTTAAACCTAGGAACCAAATCTTACTAATACCTAATTTTGGCTTGTTTGTACAGTTAATTTGGTTATATAACATTTATATTTGAAGGGTGTCGAATTTTTCAGAAAAATAATACAAGTTTTGTCATTGTACTCTGAAAAGTGAATGAAATGGAACCCCACTCTCACTATAAAAGGACCAAGATCCCCAGCTTCATAATCTGCTTCCTTCCCCTGTTTCAGTCTCAACAAATAGAAGCACAGGTATATAGTCATGGCAAGGCAACAAAGATTCAGAGGAGTCAGACAGAGGCACTGGGGATCTTGGGTCTCTGAAATTCGGCACCCATTACTGTAAACCCTTAATCTGCTTAACATCTGCGACTATTCTGGTTATTGAATTGTTGCATAGTTGAATTGACACAGTTTTATTTCATGTTATGTTGGTTTATAGGAAGACGAGGATCTGGCTGGGGACATTTGAGACTGCTGAAGATGCAGCTAGAGCATATGATGAAGCAGCTTGGTTGATATGTGGGCCTAGAGCCAAGACTAATTTTCCATATGATGCTTCCAACAACTCACAGGTTCTTTCATCTAGCCTGAGAGCTAAGCTACAAAGATGTTCTGCAGCTCTGCAACAACAGTCCAAACCAACAGCCAAGGATGTACTGGAATCAGAAGAGCAAAAGAGGGTGGATGATGAGTATGTTGAAGAGATGATTGAAGAGCTTATCTACTATGGTTCAGTAGAGTTCTCCTCCTCCCCCTCTTCCTCCTCCTCCTCCTCCTTTTCTACCAGTTCTCCAAACCAATCATATGACTAGGTCTTGAATTCTATGGTGAAGGACAGAACAATAAAATTTGTACTGTACAGAGAAAAAGAGGAAAGAAAATGGGGTTTTCTGGGGAATTTTTACTCTGAATGTTTGAAAATTTACTATATAATATTGGTGCTTGATCTGTCTTAAGAATATCTTAATACATCGATTGGTCATTTGGGTGTACAAAAAAGACCATTTTCTATGCCATTTGGGGCCAGATTTGATGGTTTCCATTCACCTGCAAAACGATCCCAACACAGCACTGCTTTATTGAATGTTGCATGTTTCAATGTTTCTTTCAAAAGTTGTTTCATTTCATACTCTATTTTCTGCCATTAAACATTAAGCTCTGTTCAAATTGGAATGGGAATTGGAATTGGAATCAGAATGGACTATTCCCATAATCGGTTTGATTTAGACGGGAACCAGAACTATATATACATGCACTGACTACATAAATCCTGTTTCAGTTTAATGTCATGTTATGGGCACTTAAATCATTTCCCACTACTTCAACTCATGTCCTAGCTCTTCTACTTCCTTGTAAATATTTTGCAGATAACAGTTATATCCATCTATAGAGATAGATTTTCAATAAGGAATGCCATCCTATAAGAGTTATAATGAGCTGCTCCTTGACCATTGGCCCATGTATAGATAGATGATCAGGTCCTGTCATTTAGGCTGTGTTTGGTTTGGCAGAAAGTAAGAGAGAAACAGAAAATAGGAAATTCCTCTCAAGTCCCAATCCTATTTTCTCTATTATTTTCTATCTAACCAAAAATAGGCTTGACTTAGGAGCTTTTTCCAAGAAATGCCTATATCAATCACCTGATTGGCACTGATGACCTAATAGTTGAGATGGTCAGTTGTCATCTCTCTAAGATAGGAGATATGGGATCAACTGTGGAGCCACAGGATCTCTATGGTATTGTCAGTGGACCTCACATGCACCCTGCTGATCTGCACAAAGTCCTCTCTCTCTCTCTGAGAAGTGTTGGATTGACATGAACTCGGAAGTGAACAGGCAACCCATCCTAGGCTCCAAATTGGCCACATCAGCTCCCTACATGGCTGAAATGTCCTAAGTTGAGACAAAGTGTCTTAATTCATTGTAGGACCCACCACATGAGGGGGCACATTTAAATAGTAGATTGGTGGTGTATGGATGTAATCATGTTAAGTAATTCCAAATTGACAAAAAGGTGCCCCTCATGTGAAAGGTTTCTCATTGAATTAAATTCTACATTTAACAATGATAATAATAAGAAGGCTTTGTTTCAGGATACTGACCAATACGATATTTTGGAAGAAAAAAAAAGACAGATAGTTTCAAGTTTACAATTGTCTCATTTTCCTTTTGAGAATAAACTTTGGCCAAACCAACAAACCAAGATATCTGAATTCAAAATACACATTACCCTTCAATACACAAGAAGATGAAAGTTCAACTTCTCTATTCAGCATAATAGAGAGATTTCCTACAAAAAGGCTTTCGTTCCCTCTTTGGTCTTTTCCCTATTTAGGATTTGATATTTGACAAAGTTCCATATCTCAGCTGGGCAGCTGACGAATTCAAATTTGAGGGACAACCATCACTACAACTCAATAGTCATCACGAATAGGAGTATCACCCAATACCAATTTAACTTTCTCTAAAAGGCAATATTGTCAGGATTCGACCAGATGTAAAACCATTTTGGTCACTTGCTCACGGGTTGAACGGTCCAACCATTTGGTTTGATTATTTAAATTGTTGAAGAAAAAAAATTAAAATTTAAAAACTAATTTCAAATTATCTTTCGATATTACAGTACACCAAAAGAAGCTTAATTAAAATAATAAATATTGTAGGTTATTTCATATATAATTAACACACTTATTTCAAGGATAAATTTGATTTAAGTCAACATTTATAAGGCGCATACCAAAAGCCATTTTGGCTGCTGGGGCTGCCACAGGGGTTGGCAGACCTAAAGACCCGAACTAAACCAACCCGGGTCTGGGTCTGCATCATTTTTCCCGATTATAGTTGGGTTGGAAGACCTATAGACCCTAACCATGTGTGTCAAAAGGGTCTCGATTACGTGTCCCAATTATGGGTATTTGGGTCTCCAATAGGGAACCCGTCTCTGCATGGATTGGGTATGAATGGTAACACCTATTGTAGTTGCAATTTGATCAAAAGGAAGATGAATTGATTTGTGGTGTGTCTAAAAAGAGTTTACGACACTGAGGAAACAGTATTTATATTAAATAAAATAAAAGGACAATTTTACCCTTAAAGATACATAATAAAAGAACAAAAATAATATGCACAAGACACAAGACACAAGAGAAGATAAAATTACAACTTTAACCTTCATTATTTCAATACTCCCCCTTAAACTGATGCAAGGGTATTAGCATCCGTTTTCCCATAAAAAAAGTATGTCTAGCTTTTGTCTTGGTCTTTGTGGAAATGTCTACTAGCTAAAGGTTAGAGGAAATATAGAAAGTAAGATGGAACCTGCATTAAGGAATCCCATGACAGTCCATTTCAATATACTTCGTCCACTCGTTTAAAACTGGACTAAAAGCTATTATGATGGCACTATGATTGTCAACCAATAGAGGGACATGAGATATCTGATCAATGTAAAGGTCTTGCATAAGGGACTTGATGAGCCAGATGATTTCCTACAAGCTAAGGACATAGCTTGGTACTCTATTTTATTTTAGTAGAAAACTTAGAAACTGTCAATTGTTTCTTTAATTTTCAAGAAATAAGGGAGTCACCTAGAAATAAGAGAGTCCCCTTAACATATATAACGAATAATACAATGCATAATTGTCATATGTGGCTATTGAGAAAAGGAAACAAATTGGTTGACAATCTGATTAGAGATTATCTCTGAAGGAGTATCAACCAATTCAGGGTCTCTGTGTTGGATTTCAATCTCATTAGAGATTAAATCTAATGGGGTTTCATTGATCAATTACATGTCTTGAAAAATAGTTTTTTCTCTTACTAAAATCAGTTTTTAACTTGTCCTACATTGAAAAATTACTAAAACCAGTTTTTAACTTAGTCGCCTGTAATGGTAACCTGACTTAAACTGAAAAACATCAGTATTGGATTTTATGAGTAACAACAAGTTACAATAATATGACTGTTAGCACTGACATTGAGAAACTTTCCATCGCAACAAACGGTGTTGTCCGTTATCATGAGAGGTTGAGATAAACTCTTAATGAAATTCTGAAATGTATCAAATAATGGAACACATAATGGAACTTCACCTACGTAAATATACGTGAATATAGAAGTGGTGTTGCTTCTCACGAGAGCTTGGGTTTGCTCTTAGGATTGTTCATGGAACCAAGAAAGAAGCACATGGCCATAATAATACTAAACAAAATTTTGAAACTCTTGTAGAAATTGGTCATTTTTATGTGTATGGATATCTCCAATCTATCTTGAGAATAATTGGTTTAAGGTCTTTCCATGAATAACTTTGACAAGGCTTTGAGATATCTGTACTAATAAAAGGTTTAAGTTATAAAACACATTTTTTAATGCATAACTATGTCATAATAGTTTGGATCGAGAGAGACCTATGTAATTGATTAATCAAAGTAGAGGATTGTTGGATTTCAACCTCATTAGAGATTAAATTCAATGGCATTTGATTGATCAATTACATGAAAAACACACATGCACACATGTCTTGAAAAATAGTGTTTTTCTTACTAAAACCAGTTTTTAACTTGTCCTATTTTTAAATCGGAGCTCATTTACAATCCTTAGAAATAAAGAGGAGAGTATGGAGGCTTGCTACCATGCAACACGCGTGCACATGTGTGCACGCATGTGTGTGGTGCAATGAGGCACTTTAGAGTCGCACTTTTCTCGCACTTCACGTAGTTCACGAAGGATGACTTTGACTTTTGGTGCAAAGCTAACCGTTGATATTTCAACGGCCACGATTCGATCAGGTGTGATCAAGAAGCGCTATTCAAAGTTAACAATTACTAACTGTTAGCTACCTTTTAACAGTCATAATTTTAAAATTATGACTATTCAAGGAGCCTTTTTGAACCAACATTTTCCTCTACTCCATGACTATTCAGAAATTATTTAAGGAGCGTGAATCAAGCAATTGAACACACAATCTTCGAAAATCACTTTGTCTCTCTCATTCTGGTCAACTACTGTCTCATAGAATATTTCTTTGAAGACTCTTCAACTTTGCTAGTTGCATATTCTCGCTCAAGGCTCTGTTGTATCCTGGGAATGGATTTGCTTGTAACCCAACAACAAACTCGATAAATTTGAGTGGGGGCAAATAGTATTCTAAAGACAATGTTTTCAGATACTCCTCAGAGATTCTCCTCCAAGTTTTAGTGACCCCAATTCCTAACACTCTGAAGTAAACTTAACTAAATTAGCATAGTATACTTCTATTGACTGATTAACAAAGACTAGAAAGTATGTTATAAGACCAAGATTCTTCATCTTCAAAGATTGACTGAGAAATTGCTTCATATGATGAATACCATCTTGATTTCTTCCAGTTATAAAAATATCATCAACCTATAGCAACAAGAGAGTGATAGCTAAGGATGTTGTGAGATGAAGAGTGAGTGTTGAAGCAACTTTGGGTGAAACCAATATTAGTAATAACAAATTTGAATCTCTAAAACCAGGCACGAGATGCTTTGATACCATATCAGTGCAATTCGAACAAGAGGGAGATAAACAGATTTGTGATGTGTCCAAAGAGTCGACAACACCAAAGAAAGAGTATTTATATTAAATAAAATAAAATAGAAAGACAATCAGTAAAGAGTATTCTATCCTTAAGGTTGAGTTTGGTTGTAGTGCAATTTTATTTGCACTGGTACAAATGCATGAGAGTGCAAATTAAAAAAATGCAAATTTGTTTTTAATTTTATTTTGGGTTTTACTTTATTCCGTTTCATGTCTTAATTTACTTCATTTGTACTGCAATCAAACAAAATAAGTTAAAATTTGAAGCAAAAATAGGTCAAGCCTTATTACAAAGAGAGTAAATCAATAAAAATGGATTATAAAAGAAGAGAAAAAATATGTACAAGATACAAGGAAAAGATAAAATCACAGCTTTAACCTTCACTACTACAACCGCCCCATTACCATTCCTATCCTATTTGAGTTTGGGTGGTGTCTAGGTTTATCTG